GTCAGTTTGTCAGCTTCCTACCTCAACAGGGCAGTGGTAGTAAGTGTCCTGAAGCATGAGGGCCACCCAAGGGCTATAGAATCTAACAATTTTGACAAATATGTCACTAGATGATGTCAGGATCTCATGACCTGTGTTAAGACTTCTATGGCCATTTTTTGGTTTATGGACATAAAGGAAGAAAGGCTTGGCTATATCTGGAAGTCCTAAGGCTGGTGCGTGCCTGAGTCAAGGCTACTTTGATTTGTTTAAATGTTTTTTCCTGATTAGTGTCTCAGAGGATGGGCTCTCCCTCTTTGTGGCTTCATATAGAAGCTTAGCTATTAAGCTTTGGAATTTTTATTGTCTCTATCATCATTTTCTGGACGTTAATTTTTCCCATGCCCATGCTTTTTACATTGTGCACAGTGATCTCAGTCTAGCTTTAGTCAACTGGCAGATCTCAGCTAAGTTTGGCTTCTGTTTTGTTATGTCTGTGTCTCTGCCCCTTGGTGATCTCTGTCTTTTTCTTCACAAGTGCCCATCAATAGATCTGTTTTCTTTTTGAAACTCCGGTTATTCTCTTGTCTTGCCTCCCAGTCTCAGTTAGTATATACCTTGGTGGCCAGCTCTAAGAGATGGGTTGCATTTATATCAGCAAAATCCATTAACTTTTATAGTTTGTGCCTGATGTCTCCCTGGGCTTGTCCTACAGTGATAGCATTTATCATATATTGATTCTCATTGACCTCAATGCTAAATGGGATGGAGAATCACGATGCTTCATAAGGTCTTTTGTAAAACTGACTGGTACTTTCATCTGCTCCCTGGAGTATTTTTGAGATCTTTTCCATAATTGTTGTCCCCCTTTATTCTTTTGTTGTGGTTGTTGAGCCTCCCGGTGGACTGATTTCTCTCTTTCTTTTGTTTTAGGCATGACTCTGGCTACAGGTGTCTTACAATATGTCTCTGAACAGGGTTGTAGTCAGGCTGGTTGAGTCTGGATTATATTTAAGCAGAAATTGATCCAGATGCCCTAGTCATCCTCTTTCCTCAGTTATCATGCTATACACACACCCAATTATTACCCTATCAACGGTTCCTTCCACTGGCCTCCCTATATCAAAGGAGGGCCTATTTTCTCCACAGAGTTTTTAACCTCTGGGAGGGTAACCTTTATCATGTAGTGCTCCATATAGCCTCTTTTAAAGTTTTTAAAGCATATATCTTATGGGGTAGGTTTTGATGCTTCTCCCATATCTACTCTGTTGTGACACAAATCACTCTCTCAAGTACTTTGGCTTTAGGAATAGTCTGAGCTTTATCAAATTAACAATGAACTATATATATATGTTAGTGAGTCTTTTGAATAGCAAAGATTTTTTTGGAAGAAATAGCTTGGGCTTTCACCAAACAAACAAGCAAACATACATATTTCCTTGATAAATCACTTCTGCACACTTTCTCAATGTATTTTAGCTTTCCAGTCTTGTTAATATCTCTTTTTTCTTCTAATAAGACAAACCTTTATGATACAAAATTCTCTCATATCAAAAGTATATCTCTTGCACTTATGGCCTTCTTGATATTTTTCCTCTGTCTTATTTACTATAAACCTTCTATAACAAAATTGGCTGCAGCCACTTGGATTTTAAAGTGTCCCCTTTTTCCTTCTTTTTTCTGTTCTCGAATTGTTACATTTTATATTTTACTGTCTTCCGACAGAATTCTAGTAGACTTGAACTAGTATTTTTATCTTAAATCAACAAACAGAGAGTAGAGAGAAGAGCAGGTTACCCCATTAAAGAATTTGCAATGTACAAGAAATATTTAAAGCACACCAATTAAATATCAGCTCAAATTGGAAGCCACAGATACATTTATCAGTTAGATAAAATTTGCAATTTGATTTTTCTTGTAAAACCTCCTTATGTTCAGCAGAGCATGGTCATAGACTCTTTTAAGCTTTGACTATGCAGTCCCAGGCTGGGATTGTTTTCGCTTTCAGATGCTGGCAGGCAGCACCGGCTGGTGACACTGAGCAAGCACCGACTTTGGGTCTTTTGAAACCAGGAGTGTTTTTCTCAGTTTTGCTCCATGATCTCTAGTACTGTCCCAGCTGTTTTCATTCTATTTACATGTACTCATGCATTTTCTCATTCCAGTTTTTTCCTATCTAGATGTGGGTTTCATCCAACTCCCCCTGAGTCTGATTTCCCACCCCACTTTGCGAGTCACTCTTCCTGCTCTCATGTTTCACTTTTGGTAGTTTCATCTGACCTAATCTATGTCAGATTAGTCATACACCCCAGAAGGTGATCAGGCTCCCCTTCTATCCTAATGGGATAGGCTCCACTTGGTCCACAAAACCTTACTGTGGTTCCATAGTGTGCTGTTCCAGAATCATCTGGAATCCCAACAGGTTCTTCTGTGTTGGCCGGGGTTGGTTTCTGGGCTGTGGAAAGCCTGATTTCCTCTCCAAGCTGAAGTCTCACCCAGCGTTACCAGAGGTCTCAGGATTGCCATAGCTTGGGCCCCTTTCAGGCCTGCAATCAAAGGAGACAGCAGCTCTGTCATCTCCAGTTTCTTCTTGGTCACCAGAAATGCTGCAGAAGTCCAAAGGACAAGAGAGACCAACTGGGAATCAGAAGGATTTATTGGTGCATCTTGGCTCAGATGGACTCCTGTCCATAACGATTGTGTGATTGAATAAAAGAAAAATTGTAGTTTTCACACAATTAGTCAAAGTGGGGTGGTTTTTCTAGTGGCACAGTAAAAGAGTTTATTGGAACAGGATAAGGGCAGACAGATTAATAATTTAGCCTTGTAGGAAGACAGTGTCTTATGAATAATATAGGAACAGGGTGTCATAAACTTTGTTTACAGAATATAGTTGTTAATTTTACCTGTATCTTTGGAGAGCATACAGTTCCTTAGGGATTATAAAATTTCATTTACCAGAATATGATTGCCTATTTTATCAATACCAGTGGGGCTGTCAGTCAGCCTTGAAGGAAGGCAGATTCTTGAGTAACCAGGATGTCATAGGACTCTGTTAGCAAGAATATTGTTGTGTACCTCAACTGTGGTAGAACAAGAAATTAAAGCTATGGGTGTGAGGTGGAGTGGTGTTTGATCTGAAGAGGGGTGGGAAATGCCCAAGGCTTGATGTTCTCCAAGTCCTGCTTCACTAAATGTGAAGTTAGTTGATACTGTGGAGTTAAAGAGGGAGAAAGACGAGGACATTAGAGTATAGTGTGCTTCATTTATGTAAAAATCATATTGATAAAAATATCAAACATCCCCTGATAGAAGGGATAGTATAATGCAACTTCATGTACATGAAACCTTTTGTGAAAAAAATCATCAAAATATAATTAGTTTGAATGTCACCATTCTGTTCTGTCTTCCTTTGTTGGATTATTTCAAAGAAAATCTCTAATGCAGTTCATTTTGCCTTTACATATTGCAAGTATTTTTTGCGCGATGGGCCTAAACCAAACAAAATATGGAAGAAAGCGAAGAAGGAAGAGTCCTGATAGAAGGATAGCGAATATAGAGGTGGAAATGGATTCTCAGCTTGGAATTTTTCCATGTCAGCCTTTGAGTAGATAAGATGGGAAAATAGTGATAGGAAAGTGAGATACTTGTGATTTCAGATGTTTGCATTTTTATAAAATCCAACAGGAGAGTCACTTAACAAACCAAGGTACACAGTAACCTCACACACATCTTTTCTACTTACTGAGTTCTCCTTCTAATTAAAAAATTATAAATCTCTTAGAATTTATATTAGTTATTGCATGTTTTGAATAGTTCAAATGATTTAGAAAGGCACAAAATAAAGCACAAATGTCTTATGTATCCCAAATATCCAGTGCCATTTGTTAGAAGTCCTCTGTTAATAATTTTTGATACCTTATTATAGAAATTTTATACATGCATATAAATACATATGAAATGTTCTTAAAAGCAGAAATATAAATGAATTAAAATATTTTCTAATTGTTTACACTTAACACAGTGTAAAATTTAAAATCTATAATACATTTCTTTCCTTTAAAATGTCAATATAATATTTTACTTTGTATATATGAATCTTCTCATTAATAAACAAGACTCTAATAAAGGGCTTCAAATATTTTTGCATATATAAAATTTATACAGTTATGTCTATAGGAACATTTTTAGAGATCATTTTTTAAGTTGAAAGACACTTTATGCATTGTTAATCTTGAGAGATATTTCCAAATTATTTAGTTTTTGTTTTTGGATGGAGGAAACTTGATTTAAGAGAATTCTACTCTGAGATAGCTACAGCTTTGTTGTTTCCTTTCTTTTTTATTGTTTAGTAAATGTTTGCCATGCATAAAGATTACATTCATTGTGGGGCGTTGGTACATGTACGTAACACACCTCAATACTTTTTATGTCTCCTTCCTTTCCTTCCAGCTCTTAATTTTGTTTCATTTTACAGAAGACCTAGCTCTCTTTTGTGTACTACATATCATTTTGAATGTATTTAAAATGTGTGTAGAAGAAGGAAGAGTAGAGTTATCAGGAACTAAAGTTGCAGAACCTTCTATTTTGGTGGCTATATCAGTGCTGGCTGCATATCAGAATTACCTGGAGAATTTAGAGGATTGTCCAAGTCCCATCATCAGAAATTATGATTTAATAGATTACAAGGTCCAAGGTTGGACCTCAACATTCATATTTTCAAAAGTCAACTGTGGAGATTTTAATATGTAGTTAGTATCTAGTATCATAGCTATAGATAGGGCAAGAGAAGGTAGACATAATGAGCTCAGGTAAAAAAAAATACATGAATCATCACTAGGATTGTTCCCCTGAAGCAAAATAGAAAAATGGAGATCAACCTCCTATTAAAAAAAAAAATTTCATACCAGGTGAAGGATCAGTCAGGTCTGAGAAAGGAGAAGGGAAGAGAGACGTCTACTTCGGGGAAGGGCAGAGCTTGTCCCAGGTCCTGTCATCCTCTTTAGGTGCTTATTTACAATCTACTTTTTTGTATAAAGATGAATTTGAGGTTGAAGCTTCTTCCAAGCTCTTCTTAACCCAGGGTTGTCTTGAATCAGTAGAATTGACTGGCCAGCTGGATAGGCAGCTATGATGATTTTGAGCAAAATAGTCCAGAAAAAACTGTTAGAAAGGATGCAGGACACAGAGGGAGAAACAAGGCAACTGCATTGAAAATGTAGAGAATTAGAAAATAGCTGATTGCTTTGATGGCCCCCATGTGTGCCTCCATACTGGGGTCTCTGGAGTCAGTGGCACTGTTTCTCATCAGCAGGGTGTGCCTGTTGAGAGAGATGAACAGGAGAGTGCATGTCATGATGACAATGAATATTGAAAGAGGAGCGAAGATCCCCAGGTTAATGAAAACAGTCAGCTTGACCACGTTGGTCTTTGTGTAGTTGAAATGGTGGAAAGTAAAAGAACTATTATAACTCACAGTGTAGATGCTCTTGTGGAAGACCATGCTGGAGATTAAGGAAATAAGCACTAATAGCCATAGGAGACAAGAAATTATTCTAGAAATTCTCCATTTCAGCTTGAGGACAAGGGGATGGGAGAAATTGGCATTCTTCACAAAGTAGAAGAAACTGAGCACAGAAGTGAACCAGAGGCCACAACAACTTAAGAACATGAAACATACTTGGTATGTGTAAAATAAGACACTTTTGAAAGAAAAAATTGGGAATGTATAGATAAAGATATTTTCTAGCATCGTGAAGCTTTGGAGGGCCATTCTGGAAGCACTCAGGAAAAGCAGGATCTTGCCACTGGTGAAAATGGCCTTTTTCTGAACCCATACAGTCACATTTACAGCCATGATGAACCCATTTACGATGATCCCCACAAAATTTTCAGTGCCTGTGATCGTTAAAGTTAAGATATCAGATAATGATAGTTCATATCCTGAAGAGTTGTTGGGCTTAGCCATCCTGAGTTGTGGCTCCTTTCTGGATTCTATAGGAAAATGTCTTCCTAGTATTTGAGGCACAGATCCTTGATAACTCCCACTATTCAAGTCACAGGTGGAAGCATATCATTTAAAAATTCAGTATATTTGTTTATCTCAGAATTCTTAACTCTTGGACTGGAGATGCAAATGACAAGAGGAACTGGTCCCTAATGCTTTCCTTATTTGGGGACATGGCACCAGTGAAGCACTGCATAGATTCTCCTATAAACCACTAGCTTGGCAATGAGAATCATATCATTGGTAGCTTTAGTTACTTTTAAGCATTTCCCACCAAGTCACCATTTAACTAGTTCCATTTGTGATTTCAAGGAACTCGTAGAAAATTCTACTACAAAGATGTATTTAGTTCTTATTTTATGCCAAGCAGTGTCCAAACAATTTGTATATATTACCACATTTAAACATCAAGACAACTTCATGAGGCATGTGTCTTATTATTTTTATTTTGCATATAAGGACACTGAGGCATAAAGGGGTTTAAAAACTTGTACAAAGAATACAACTAGTGAGTGACAGAGGTGAGGTTAGAAGCCAAAGCTTCTGAAGTCGTGTTCTTGCTCCATATGTTATATTGCCTACACCTATGTGGTTCTTTTGTGTCTACCAAAGACCAAATGCAGCTGCCATTAACAGTGACTTCCTGGTATCTTTTTTATTACATCTGTACCATTTGAAGGAAATAAGAAAGCAAGGCAATGCTAATTTATAAGAGATAGGACTTTCTTTTCAAAATAAATTACTTGATGTAACAAATTTCTTTAAATAGACAGGAGTAACTATACCCAACACACACACACACACACACACACACACACACACACACACACTCTTTTTATTTTAAACAAAACACTAGGAAAATAAAGGTTGAAGGAAAAGTTCTTTAGGTCCTTAACAAGGACTCCTTTAGCCATGATCAAAAAAAGTCTAAACCAAGACCCATAAGAGTCAAAATTCCAGAAATTCAACAAAGAACAGAACATTGAAAGCTGTTGGAGAAAAGAAACAAATCACCTATAAGGGAAAGCCCATCAGAATCACAGCAGACTTCTTAACATGAACCCTCAAGTCAAGGAGAGCTTGGAGTGAAGAATTTCAAGAAAACAATCTCCAGCCCATATTGAGGTACCATAAAAAACTATTTTTCAAAATTGATGGAGAAATAAGATACTTTCATTACAAAGAAAAACTGAAGAAATCCTTGACGACCAAGCTAGCACTTCAAAATATTCTTGCAGATGACTGGAGATTATCACAAAGATCCTTCAATGACAGAAACTGACATCTGTCCCTACATCTGAATTTCCTGTGTTGTTGAGCAAAAATTGAAATGAGAGAAGGAGAGAGCTGAGACAATAAGATCTTTCCGGAAAGCTACACAATTGCATCTCCCACACAAATAATGTAACGCATGCATCCTAGGAGGAATAATACACAGAACAACAATTAACCAGCTGCTTGCTAACTGACAGTATAAGAAAACGGAGCACATATATCTGGCCTCTCCTATTCTTATGACATTTCTTTCCATTTCTCTTCCTGGGATTTTCATTAAACATACTCTTCATATAGAAGTGCTGCCATGCCCACTTCTGAATCTCTTCTTGTTCCATATGCATTTTAGGATTGTTTTCTTAGTTCTGTGAAGAATTCTATTGGCATTTAAAGAAAGAGACATCAAAAGGATTTATTAGAGGCAGATATAGAACACAGTCAAGAACAGAATATGGGTGCTCAGAGAAATGAGGTGCCACTATTGGTCTTTTTTGTCAGCATTGTGTTGAATCTGTTTAACAGTTTTGGGAGTATGATCACTTTGACAATATTGGTTCTGCCTGTCCAGGGTAAGGGGATATCTTTCTATTTTCTGATGCCCTCTTTAATATGACCTCTTTTTTTGTAGAGGGCTTTCATTTCCCTGCCTAGGTTAATTCCTAGGTACTTGATTTTTCTTGATGCTACTGTGAATAGTATTGTTTTAATAATTTCCTTCTCATCAAGTTCATTATTGGAGTATGCGAATGGTATTGATTTTAGCATGTTGATTTTGTATCCTGCTACCTTAATGAAATAGTTTATTAATTTTGATTTTTTTCATGAAATTGAGTCTTCTATGTAGAGTATCACATCATCTGCAAATATAATTTAAGTTCTTCATTTTCTATATGTACCCCTTTTATTTTTACTCTTGCCTGATTGCTCTGTCTAATGTTTGAAGTATTATGGTGGATAGAAGTAGAGATAGTGGGCATCCTTGACCTGTTCCCAATTTTAGAGGGAATATTTTCAGTATTTCCCTATTTAATATGATATTGGCCATTGGTTTTTCATAAATAACTTTTATCAAATTGAGGTATCATCCTTCTATATCTATTTTCTCCAGATTTTTAAAAAAATCATGAGGATGTGTTGGATTTTCATCAATCCTTTTTTACATCTACTGGTATCATACTGTGGTTTTTGTTCTTTTTTTCTGGGCATGTGGTGTATTACATTTATTATATTTATATTATATTTATATATATTATATTTGTATTATATTTAAATATATCCTTGCTGCTCTGGGATGAAACCTATTTGGTCATTATATATGATATTTTTGATAATCTAAAGTATTGTATTTGGTAATATATCTTATTAAGGATTTTTGCATTTATGTTCATTAAGGAGATTGGCCTGTATTTTAAAAAAATTTTATTTTGGTTTTGGGATCAAAGTGATGCTGGCTTCCATAAATGATGTTGAAAGCATTTCATCCTTTTAAATTTCATTGAACAGTTTGAGATGTATTGTTAGTATAAGCTCCCTAAAGATTTTGTAGAATTTAGCAGGTCTTGGACTTTTTTTTTTTTTTTTTTAGTAGGGGGATCAAACTCAGGTCTTTGTGCTTGCAAGGCAGGCAGCGGCACCACTGAGCTGAATCCCTGGCCCCTCTTATTTTCGTTGGTAGTTGTTTTTTTCCTTTTATTGAGTTTATTGGTACATTTAAGGTATACAATACAATTATGTTCATTATTGGGATCATGTACCTTTACATGACAGGTTTTGGTTCTCATTTTTTTCCCTTTGTCTGTGACCTCCCTTCACCCCTCCTCCCCTCCCAATTTACAAACAGTTTATTTCCATTTTTTCATTTTGTCATATTTTTTTTCCCTTATTACTTTTCCCCTACCCTTCCCATTTTCCTGACACCTTTAGCACTTTTCTTCCTATTTCACATAGTCAATTATATCATTAGGCTCTTATGTACTATTATAGTTTTTCACAGCAGAGAAACTATTCGGTATTTACACATGTGTGATTTATTTATTTCACTTAGGAATATATCCTCAATATATATCCATTTTCCTATGAATGAATCTAATTTCTCATTCTTTATGGCTGAGTAATATTCCATTTTATAGAAAAACCACATCTTCTTTATCCAGTTTCCAACTGATGGGTAAATGGGCTGTTTCCAAGTTTTAGCTATTACAAACTGTGCTGCTATAAACATGGGTGCGCATACATCACTGTGATATGATTCTTTTAATTCTTTTGGAAAGATACCCAGCAGATGGATGGCTGGGTCAAATGGAACCTCGAGTCCCAGTTCTTTGAGGTATCTCCATATTGATTTTCATAGTGGTTGCACCAGTCCGCACTCCCACCAACAGTGGAGAAGGGTCCTTTTCTCCCTGCAACCCCGCCTGGTTGGTAGGTTTTTAAAGATTATTCTCTCTTTCCTTGCCTGTTATTGGACTGTTCAGCATTGTTGTGTCTTGTTGGGTTAGCTTTGGTAATTTTAAGGAGTTTATGAATCTGTTCATTTCTTCAAGATTTTCCAATTTGTTTAAATACAATTTTTCATAACAATTGCTAATTATTTTCTGGATTTTCAGTGATGTATATTGCGATTTTGCCTTTTTGATTTCAGATTGCATTGATGTGAGTTTCTTTTCTCCTTCATAAGTTTAGCTAAGGGATTATAGATTTTGTTTATTCTTTCAAAGAACCAGCAATCTGTTGATTCTTTGTATTACTATTTTTTAGTCTAATTTCATTGATTTCTGCCCAGTTCTTTATCATTTACCTCATTAATTTCATTTTAGGCTTGGGTTGTTGTTGTTGTTTCTCCAGTATCTTAAGTTCTTCATTAGGTTATTTATTTGAGTTAGCTGCGTTTTTCTGATGTAAGCATTGATCACAGTGATCTTTCCTCTTAGGACTGCTTTCATTGTGTCCCATATATTCCAGAATGTTGTCAAGGTATTTTCGCTGACTTCCAGAAACTGGTTGTCATTCTTTGATTTCTTGTATGTCACATTGGGTATTCATGTATATGTTATTAAATTTCCTATTGGTTCTATATTTTCTGTGGTTTCTGTGGATGATTTTTTTCATTCCCATATTTTTTAATGTTTGTTTGATTACTTTATAATTTCCATTTTGTCTTGCATATCAGACATTCTGTCTTATGTTGGTCATATTTGGAATTTATGAATTCTTTTTTTAATAAATAAATTTAAAAAATTTTATCCTATTCCCCCCATTCCCCTCTCCTCTCTATGTACAAAGACATTGTTTCCATTTTTTCTTCTACTTTCACTTTTTTCTTGTTGCTTCTTTCCTTCCTTTTTCCCTCCTGCCTCCCTTGTTCCCCTTTTTATTTGAACAGTTTCTTCCCATTTCCCAACATACATTATATATCTCAGTCCTTATTTCCACATTCAGCTTCAGAGAAACAATGTGGTATTTAAACGTGTGTCCAATTTATTTCACTTAAGAGTATGGTATGGTCTCAGTCCATCCATTTAGCTGTAAATGCCTGAAGCTCACCATTCTTTATGGCAGAGTAATACTTCATCATATTAAAAACCCACCTCTTCATTAGCCACTCATCATTTGATGGGCATTTGGTTTGTTTCCAAGATTTAGCTATTACAAACTGTGCTGCTATAAACATGGGTGCACATATATTG